GTTGTTCAAGGGTCAATTGTAAAAGTATCTATTATGTCCTCCATCCATACACTCACATCATGCTCAAGTGTACCTATGCTGAAGCCCACACTGGTATGGAAGCATTTTTTCATTTAATAGACCATTGCAGACAATTTATAAACTTTAGTTATGAAAATCACTAGTGAGGTTAAATTAAGAATCAGAGCTGCCACCTTCTAAAACATGAAGGTTATTACATTCTATTTCACTGCGTAGTAAAGACTTCTGCAGGTGTGCTATTATCTGGGACACCATTTGCCTACAGGCTGAGATCAGAGGATCTCTGGAAAAACTTTTTTATTCCTCTTTAATTGTGTTTTACCCTAGAGGGCACTGCCCTCTTGTACCTGATATACTATCATTAGCTAGTCAGTCTGTAGGTTAAGGCTTTTCATCTTCAGAAGTTCTCTATCAAAATGCAAATTTCCCACAAAGGTCTATGAAACAGACGTGCTAAGAGGCTATTTATTAGGAAGAATCCTCAGGAAGCTGGAACTCTCAGCTCAGGATTCTATTACTTTCTAAGAATATTTTGATACTGATTTGAAACCCGAGGCAAGCAAAGAATGACAAGAGTGTTCTCTAGGGCCAGGGCAAAGAGGAAAGGAATAGGGCCCAGAGCAAAACAGAGAGGCAGATCTAAAGGCTGATAATTATGTTCTGAGTCAAACAGCATTAATGAGTCATCTGCCATCTGAAAATGTTCTTCTCGTTCATGGTTGGAGAGAGTGCAGTTTGGTGGAAAAATAGACGGCTTGAATTCAAAAGACCTGAACTTAAGGCACTCACTGAAAGAGCAGTGCAATATAAGGTGGAGACATATCTTGAGGTTTTAAGCCAGTATCACATTCACAGTCACAGTATGTGACTTCAGGCAAAACTACTTCTTAGTGAATCCAAGCAGGACCCTGTGGGGTCTTCCCAAGTACAAGCCCCTCCACAGCCCCTGCTTCTTGTTTGGCCTTGCCCAAGTTCCAAAGAGCAGATTCAAGCAGTTACTAATTAGAGAAGTGAGGGAACGCAGAAACAAAGGAAAAGCGTCAAGCAAGAAAAGAAATGATAGCTTAAACAACAGTTCATAAAAACAGAGTCACACCAAGTCCCCAGGGAGTGGCCAGGTTCATAGGTCGATCTTGAATGGAACTCGCTTCCTGCTCAAGACTGATGCTTCTTCAGGTTTCTGAGCACTGTCAGGAACACCTTGAGTTTGGGCTGTACCTCCCCTGATCACCTGAAGCTTCCCTAGACAAAAACAAAGCAGCAAAGGAATGTGAGGGAGGAGTACTTCCCAGAACTTCTGCTGCCAGTGTCCTTGACCCCAGTGAGTCACAGCCAACACTTGCCTCTGCAGGAGACCCTCCAACACTAGCAGCCCTGTGTCTGAAAGGGTCTTCATGCTCTGGCCAGGTGTCAGGCCTGAGTCTCTGAAGTGGGAGAGCCGAATGAAGGACATTAAACCACCAGAGACCTCACGGCCGCACGTAATATCAATCGGCGAGAGTCCTCCCAGAGATCTCCGTCTCGACGCTAAGACCCAGCTCCACTCAACAACCAGCAAGATCCAGTGCTGGACACCCCATGCCAGACAACTAGCAAGACAGGAACACAACCACACCCATTAGCAGAGAGGCTGCCTAAAATCATAATAAGTTCACAGACACCCCAAAACACACCACCAGACGTGGACCTGGCCACCAGAAAGACAAGATCCAGCCTCATCCACAAGAACACAGGCACTAGTCCCCTCCAACAGGAAGCCTACACAACCCACTGAACCAACCTTACCCACTGGGGACAGACACCAAAAACAACAGGAACTATGAACTTGCAGCCTGCGAAAAGGAGACCTCAAACACAGTAACTTAAGCAAAATGAGAAGACAGAGAAATACGCAGCAGATGAAGGAGCAAGGTAAAAACCCACCAGAAAAAACAAAGGAAGAGGAAGTAGGCAGTCTACCTGAAAAAGAATTCAGAGTAATGATAGTAAAGATGATCCAAAATCTTAGAAATAAAATGGAGAAAATACAAGAAACATTTAACAAGGACCTAGAAGAACTAAAGAGCAAGCAAACAATGATGAACAAAACAAACGAAATTACAAATTCTCTAGAAGGAATCCATAGCAGAATAACTGAGGCAGAAGAATGGATAAGTGACCTGGAAGATAAAATAGTGGAAATAACTACTGCAGAGCAGAATAAAGAAAAAAGAATGAAAAGAACTGAGGACAGTCTCAGAGACCTCTGGGACAACATTAAACACACCAACATTTGGGCTTCCCTGGTGGTGCAGTGGTTGAGAGTCCGCCTGCCGATGCAGGGGACATGGGTTCATGCCCTGGTCTGGGAAGATCCCACATGCCGTGGAGCGGCTGGGCCCATGAGCCATGGCCACTAAGCCTGTGCGTCTGGAGCCTGTGCTCCACAACGGGAGAGGCCACAATAGTGAGAGGCCCGCATACCGCAAAAAAAAACACAACAAAAACAAAAAACACACACCAACATTTGAATTATACAGGTGCCAGGAGAAGAATAGAGAAAGAGAGGGTCTGAGAAAATATTTGAAGAGATTATAGTTGAAAACTTCCCTAACAAAGGAAAGGAAATAGTCAATCAAGTCCAGGAAGCGCAGAGAGTCCCATACAGGATAAATCTAAGGAGAAACACGCCGAGACACATATTAATTAAACTATCAAAAATTAAATACTAAAACAATATCAAAAGCAGCAAGGGAAAAGCAATGAATAACAAACAAGGGAATGCCCATATGGTTAACAGCTGATCTTTCAGTAGAAACTCTGCAAGCCAGAAGGGCGTGGCAGGACATATTTAAAGTGATGAAAGGGAAAAACCTACAACCAAGACTACTCTACCAAGCAAGGATCTCATTCAGATTCAATGGAAAAATTAAAAGCTTTACAGACAAGCCAAAGCTAAGAGAATTCAGCACCACCAAACCAGCTTCAGAACAAATGCTAAAGGAAATTCTCTAGGCAGGAAACACAAGAGAATGAAAAGACCTACAATAACAAACCCAAAACAATTAAGAAAATGGTAATAGGAACACACATATAAATAATTACCTTAAATGTAAATAGATTAAATGCTGCCACCAAAAGACACAGACTGGTTGAATGGATACAAAAACAAGACCATATACATGCTGTCTACAAGAGACCCACTTCAGACCTAGGGACACATACAGACTGAAAGTGAGGGGATGGAAAAAGATATTCCATGCAAATGGAAATCAAAAGAAAGCTGGAGTAGCAATTCTCATAGCCGACAAAATAGACTTTAAAATAAAGACTACTACAAGAGACAAAGACGGACACTACATAATGATCAAGGGATCGATCCAAGAAGAAGATATAACAATTGTAAATATTTATGCACGCAATATAGGAGCACCTCAATACAAAGGCAAATGCTAATAGCCATAAAAGAGGAAATCAACAGTAACACAATCATAGTAGGGGACTTTAACACCCCACTTTCACCAATGGACAGATCATCCAAAATAAAAATAAATAAGGAAACAAACTTCAAATAACAAGCTTACTTCAACATAATAAAGGCCATATGTGACAAACCCACAGCCAACATTGTTCTCAATGGTGAAAAACTGAAACCATTTCCACTAAGATCAGGAACAAGACAAGGTTGCCCACTCTCACCACTATTATCCAACATAGTTTAAGCCACAGCAATCAGAGAAGAAAAAGAAATAAAAGGAATCCAAATTGGAAAAGAAGTAAAATTGTCACTGTTTGCAGATCACATGATAGTATACATGGAGAATCCTAAAGATGCTACCAGAAAATTACTAGAGCTAATCAATGAATTTCGTAAAGTAGCAGGATACAAAATTAATGCACAGAAATCTCTTGCATTCCAATACACTAATGATGAAAAATCTGAAACAGAAATTAAGGAAAAACTCCCATTTACCATTGCAACAATAAGAATAAAACACCTAGGAATAAACCTACCTAAGGAGACAAACGATCTGTATGCAGAAAACTATAAGACACTGATGAAAGAAATTAAAGATGATACAAACAGATGGAGCGATATACCATGTTCTTGGATTGGAAGAACCAACATTGTGAAAATTATTTTACCACCCAAAGCAATCTACAGATTCAACTCGGAGCCTGTGCTCCGCAACGGGAGAGGCCACAACAGTGAGAGGCCCGTGTACCGCAAAAAAAAAATAAATACACAAATGGGACCTAATGTAACTTAAAAACTTTTGCACAGCAAAGGAAACCATAAACAAGATGAAAAGACAGCCCTCAGAATGGGAGAAAATATTTTCAAACAAAGCAACTGACAAAGAATTAATCTCCAAAATATACAAGCAGCTCACGCAGCTTAATGGCAAACAAAGAAACCAAATCCAAAAGTGGGCAAAAGACATAGACATTTCTCCAAAGAAGATATACCGATTGCCAACTAACACATGAAAGGATGCTCAACATCACTAATCATTGGGGAAATTCAAATCAAATCTACAATGAGGTGTCACCTCACACCAGTCAGAATGGCCATCATTAAAAATTCTACAAACAATAAATGTTGGAGAGGGTGTGGAGAAAAGGGGACCCTCTTGTACTGTTGGTGGGAATGTAAATTGATACAGCCACTATGGAGAACAGTATGGAGGTTCCTTAAAAAACTAAAAATAGAACTACCATCTGACCCAGCAATCCCACTACTGGGTATGTACCCTGAGAAAACCATAATTCAAAAGGAGTCATGTACCACAATGTTCAGTGCAGCTCTATTTACAACAGCCAGGACATGGAAGCAACCTAAGTGTCCATCAACAGATGAATGGATAAAGAAGATGTGGCACATATAATGGAATATTACTCAGCCATAAAAAGAAACAACATTGAGATATTTGTAGTGAGGTGGATGGACCTAGAGTCTGTCATACAGAGTGAAGTTAAGTCAGAAAGAGAAAAATAACCCTCCTTTTCTTGGTGGGGATCGGGCTTGCAGTCCCAGTCCGCATAATGTACAGAGGCAGAGGGAAAGGGCTCTGGCGCCCTCGGCGTCATGTCTTCGGTACCAGTGGCTTCCAGTCTGCAGGTTCTATCCTCAAGCGCTGGGATACGGTGGAAAAAAAAAGAAAGAAAAACGAATACCATATGCTAACACATATATATATGGAATCTAAAAAAAACCATGGTTCTGACAAACCTATGGGCAGGACAGAAATAAAGATGCAGATGTAGAGAATGGACTTCAGCTCATGGAAGGGGAAAGGGCAAGCTGGGACAAAGTGAGAGAGTGGCATTGACATATGTACACTACCAAATGTAAAATAGCTAGCTAGTGGGAAGCAGCCACATAGCACAGGGAGATCAGCTGTTGCTGTGTGACCACCAGAGGGGTGGGAGGGAGAAGCAAGAGGGAAGAGATATGGGGATATGTATATGTATAGCTGATTCACTTTGTTATAAAGCATAAACTAACACACCATTGTAAAGCACTTATACTCCAATAAAGATGTTAAAAAACAAACAAACAAAAAACAGTCACAGGACCCCTGCTTCCTCCTGAAGGGATACAGATAAAGATCTGATGCATATCTTTGATTTGTTCCTCAGAAACTAAGACCTTCCCCCACCCCACCAAAAAACAGGGGAGGATGGTGACTACATGCTGACCACAAGCACACAGACCCCAGACTGTTTGGAACCAGGCTGATAATTAAGGTTCCTGAAACAGCACCCTGTTATCTCATCAGCAGCCAATCAGAAAAAATGTCCACAAGCTGATCACACAACGTGTAATCCTCGTTCCTAATGTTGCCTTTAAAAATCGTCCCCTGAATGCCACTGACGGGGATGGGGTCTTTTGAGAACTAGTTGCCCGTTCTCCTTGCTTGGCACCCTGCGAAGGATGCTGTACTTTTTTAGTGCAACCTAGCATCAGCAGATTGGCTATGTTGCATGTTAGGGAAGTCAACCCAAGTTCAGTTGGGTAACATTAGTCCTTCTACCGCAAGGTAGAAGGGACAGTAGAGTAATTTCAAGGACTGAATGAAATATGTAGTTGGCATTGGAAAAAAATGTTACTACTACAATTACTCTTACTCCTACTATTACTACTGTCTAATATATATGGAATTTGTACTACATGCAAGGCACTGTTCTAAGCATTTTATTTGAATTTATTCATTTAATTCTCCTTCCTTTCAAAACCCCCTATTTTACTGTTAAAACAGGAAACAGATATTGAGCACCTTGTTGAATATTTTACACTTGGTGAGTAGTAGAGTCAGGATTTGAACCCAGGCAGTCTGACTCCAGAGGCAGGACGGTTAGCTACTTATGTGCTGTACTGCTGCTGTTTTTTCTTAATTGTTGTTACATTGTTAATATTACTACTAAAGGCTATATACTTGACGAATTTATTTTAAGTTTATTTGAACACCTCAATGCCTCAGCTTCCTCATAACCATGCTAAGGATAATAGCAACAATCTGCCTCATGGGTTTATTGCAAGGCTTTAATAAAATACTATGTTTGTGCTAAGATAATACTTCTCTTTTTTCCAGCAACCACCACTTTATTATTATTATTATTTTTACTGAGGTATGTTTTTTTGTTTTAATTTTTATTGGGGTATAGTTGATTTACAATGCTGTGTTAGTTTCAGGTGTACAGCAAAGTGAATTAGTTATACATATACATTTATGCATATACATATATCCAGCTGATTTACAACATTAAGTTTCAGATGTACAACACAGTGATTCACAATTTTAAAAGATCATACCCCATTTATAATTATTATAAAATATTGGCTATATTTCCTGTCTTGTACAATATATCTTTATAGCTTATTTTATGCATAGTAGTTTGTACCTCTTAACCCCTATCCCTATCTTGCCTGTCCCCACGCTCCCCCGGATGGTAACCACTAGTTTATTCTCTTTATGTGTGAAGACAACACTTCTCAAAGTTTAATGTGCACACCCGTCACCTGGGATCTTGTTAAAAAGCAGTTTTCAATTCAGTAGGTCTGGGGTAAGATATTAGAAATGAAGAAATTTGTTAAAAGTAAGTTTCCAGGTGATGCTGATGTGCCTGGTCCAGGGACCACACTTTGAGTGGCAAGGTTCTATGAATCTCCTGGAGAATTCTCCACTTTTAGTGTGAGCGCCCCTTGGCTATTTGCTATGTGACAAGTGTTCCTTATTTTGGCAAATGGGGACCGATAAATATCATTAGTGTACTAGAACAGAGTTCTACACAGACTGCGCCATTCCACTACCCAAAAATATTTTGTACACTACAAAACCAAAAAGAATGGAAGTTTGAGATGCTCTGCAAACATTTTAACTTCCTATCTATTTTGAGAAATCGAGCATGGTACTGCTTTGTCACTTTCCTGTGAAAGAATAAAAGGAGACATCAGTAAGCGCCTCCCAAAAGAGAAAAATCGTGATTGAATATTATCGCTACCAGTTACCTAGGATACAAGAAATGAAGTTTTGTCACCTTGGCCCTTGGAAATGGTAACCAGGTGTCACAGAAAGAGATTCTACCTATGGTTGAATCTTCTTGTTCTGTCACTTCACTCTTCCCCATAAAGGAAAGAGAGAAGAGGGACTTTTCACTGTGCTTTCTTTTGAAACAAAAGCAACACCACCCCAGGAGAGGGTGGAGGATAATGTCTGATTCTTAATATTATCTAGGGAGAAAATACATATCTTGGCCAAAAAAAACCCCATACTTTTCACTGCTTCATGTCCCTTGGGGTTCTGAATCTCTCATTTTCTGTCTTACGTAAAACAAATATAAAAGCAAAGCAAATAAAAAGTTTGATTGTTTCAGACTCTCACAGCGAGAGTGGAGTTTTTCTTGATCTTTAGCTAATAATTTCCCCAAAATTATTTGTAGAAGTTCTTATGAACCATAAAATACCAAACAAATGTCAGGATAATAATCATTGCTGCTATGAGATTTCTTCGCATAGCAGGAAAGAAATTTTTTTTAAAATCTATACAGAACGTACAGTGTTTAGAGAACTGTTCCCTCCTATCAGTTTTTAGAGGTGACAGATGTTGTAGTGATGACTGTTTGACACTTTCCCCCAGTCCATCCTGGACAGTTATCTTAGCAAAGGAGTAAATACTGTGTATTGTCAGTCACTTTGAAATTTACACACTCTACAGTGGCCATCTGATTGCTTCAAGATTCATTTGTGCATTCCTCCCACAAATGTTTGGGAAGGTGTCAAGGAGGAGACACTCAGTCATGGACATGTGGCAGGGTGTCACGAGAGACCAACTTAACTCACTTCATGATTCTGCCCTTACTCACGCAAGTGAATAAAGATGGAATTGATTTGAGAATGCTGCAAATGTTACTAATTTCCAAAAGAGAAGCGTGGGGCGATAATGGTAAATGTTATATTGTCAAAAGTCAAGCAGAATATAAAGTTTGCCGTTATTTAGAGGAGAAAGTATTCTCGTTTGATTTATAACTAGTTGGCAAATTAACGCAGTATTAAAACAGCAACCTCATAATAAATAACATTGAAAAGTGCATAACTAGACTGATATTCATGTTCAAAGGCGTGACTTTGTGTATAAAAACACATCATGGGGCTTCCCTGGTGGCGCAGTGGTTGAGAGTCCGCCTGCCGATGCAGGGGACGCGGGTTCGGGCCCCGGTGCGGGAGGATCCCACGTGCCGCGGAGCGGCTGGGCCCGTGAGCCATGGCCGCTGAGCCTGCGCGTCCGGAGCCTGTGCTCCGCAACGGGAGAGGCCGCCAACAGTGAGAGGCCCGCGTACCGCAAACAAACAAAAAAACACATGATGTTAATGCTCAACCCTGACATTTTGGAGAATAACTTCCAAATGGTGTGTGAGGCATGTCTTATCTTTAGATTAATGTGTGATATGGAAGGAGGGGCAGAAATGTTACTCAAGTGTGAAAATCAGAATCCTTTCCTTGTGTGTAGTGTTATGCCATACTGTGAGAATAAAACACTTTTTTGCAATATATAAATTATAGTATAATTTAGAAATAATAAAACGTTGAGCATGGACAAAGACTCAAAAGCTCTTAAGAACATTAAAAATAACTTTTATATAAATATCATTCTTATAAAGATAAATAGGTTAGCAACGGGCAGAAGACCTAAGTTTCCTTAAAATAGATAAATTTTATAATCAAGAATTTTACATTTGGCAAAATATTCGAGGTTTCCAAACAGTTGAAAATTCCTCTGAAATGCTTGATGAATTCAGAACAGTTATTTAAAATCCTTATGAGTATCTTTATTATTTTTTTATTGTTACTTATCTATGCATAGTGATCCAAATGAAACCACTGCATTAAAACAGTAACCCATACAACCAGGAACAGAGTCCATATTCTTGAAAAAGATATTCTATTAACCTACGAAACACACTGTGAATGGAATAGTCAAAACTAAATGAGATACACAGCTGAATTCTCCTCTGGAGACACAAAGACAGCCACTGCCCCTCCCAAACTTAGAGAATGCTCTGAAATACTTTTTTTGTTTCTTTGACTAAAACAAATGCCTAAATTACATGAAAATCCCCAATCTTCCACCACTAGGACAAATTATACACATATTTGAGAAGTAGTATTGACAGATTAGCAATGAAAAGTACCAATTACTCAGTTAAAGTTGAATTTCAAAAAGTTTTTTAGGACAAGTAATGTTTGATGCAACCATATCCCATACAATACTTACACTTAACAGTGTGTTGTTGTTCATCTGAAGTCTGTATTTACTGGGTACCCTGTGTTTTATCTGGCAACCCTATTGAAAAGGCCATTTCAGGTTAGAGCTATTATGTAGAGAAAGAGAAGGAGCGGGATGGGGGCTGGGGAGGAACACCACCAGCTACGATAGTAATAGTAGTAGGAAAAAGTAACAACTATTTACAAAGTGTTTTCCTCTGTGCTCTGTGTTCACGATCTCATTTAACTCTTCCCAAAAGTCCTCTGGGCTTAGTTCTTTATAGAGGAAGAATTTAGCATAGAGCCTGGCACATAATAACCACCAGTCACTGTTAATCAATTCTATTATTTTTATGTTTAACATCACCATACCTCCTTCTCAA